GACATCAACTAAGCATTGAATACTTGAGGGGAACAGTTCCTTGGGGGAGCCGATCGCGTCATCTTGGCGCATCAACCATTAATGCTTAGCCATCATGACAGTAAACTTAGACTCCTAGAGGACAGATGCTAGCAGACTCGCATTTATTTATCTTATCACTTTTACTCATTCCGTCATAAATGTGGAGTCACATCGTATTAAATACAATATCAACTGTTATACCTGATTGTTCAGTGTCACCATACCTCGGCTTACTTCCTCGACGCTCTTTGGACATCCCAACAACTTTATTATTCTATGTGTCGATTCGGGGCTATAGAGCCACCTAGAGTCCAGCCACCGATACTTTTCGGCATTTTGTAAATGCCGCTAATTCCTAATTTAAATTTTCATTTTATTTTTCCTTCCCCAACATTTTTAACATTTTATTTATCTTGTCCTCAAATTGATTTCCTCATTTTAACCTAGCCGTCATCATCTCTCCCTCGCTGACACTCTCCGGCACATGACTCCCTCTCTGATGGCCTCTCTCTCTGAACTCTCCTCAGTGGATTAGGTCGTCGTCACAAAGAGCTTAGCCAAATCGTTGCCTCACCTCTTCGTCGTCACAGAGAGCTTAGCCAATTCTGCTTCTATTGTCTTCTAGTAAGTCCATCTTTCTCTCTCTCTTCCCACATGATTAAACAGTATCGTGTTAGAGAAAATATTTGCCTACGTAGTACAACTTGTTTCTGTTAATAATACAGTCTAGACCTTGTGCTTATTAGTTAAAAATTACTGTATCTTTTACAATAATAAGTGGAAATCTTGAAACAATTTAGTATTACATGGCCTAACTTGGCTTGGAGGTGTCGGCATGGCATTTCAATAAATCAGATTCCAAATAAGGTGTAGAAAGATTCCAGTAGGAGGGAAAGAATTCTAAAAGTTTGGTTCGCAAACTGATTTATTAATTATTTGGTTTTTTTGAAAAAAAAAAACAAGATTTTCTCTGTTAGTTCTCCCATTCTGTCATATACTTTATGTTTTGACACAAAGGCATGCCACAAAAATTTTCAATGATTGAAGTTTGATGTATCTTTTGTGGATGAATGCATTACATTTGACCAATCATCAACGACTGCGTAAAGACATGTCTCAAATTTGTGTGATCCTCAGGAAGCCTTAAAACAAAATTAGCTGAGCCTAAACTGAAGAGCAAAGTCTTGAGCAGAGATAAAATCTGAATCCACAATCTTTAGCCATTCCTCTCTCAGTCGACTGCTTGTCGCCCCTCTCTTTATGGATTTGTTGTGGTTGTCTCTTCTAGAAGATTCCATCAACTAATCTCTGAGCACGCATTTTTTATTACAGTGGTACGTAAACTATATCTTAATTTGAAACTGTATGATTAATTGACTGGTTAGTTCCTTGATTGACGAATTCATCGTATCTTGATTCTTTGTCTTTTGCAATTACGGTGTTTATTTGCTTGTTTAATATTACCAGTCTTTTAATTGTCCTGCCCCATTAGATAGTCCATTTTCCAGCTTTTATGACAAGTGCATTCTATACTTTTGTCTTTATGAACGAGGAAATGTTTCTTGATGCATGAAAAATGGAATTGGACACTTCGAATTCTATTCTTCTACTAGGAATAGTTATTAGGAATGCAGAAATGGAGAAACTTGATTAGTCTCTTCTGAATGATTGAATTTGATTGTACATAATTATTAAAAAATACTATATAGAATTGCCGAGTTTTCAAGTCTTTTTTTTCCTTGTTTTTTTTTTTTGTGTTCAATTATTTTGGTATCTTGAAATCGCATATGTTTGATGGTTTAGATTTGCAAGCATATCATATTGGAATACGTTTATGGATAAGAGTTGGATACATTTACATAGACTAGACCCGTTGTATAAACAAGGAGTTAAGAATTTTATCAAGTTTGCATGTAAAAATAAACCAAATGCACTAGAACTCATGTGCCCATGCAAAAAATGTCGTAATGTTAGATTGATAAAAATGAAACTTTTGGAAGAACATTTGATTGTAGATGGGTTTCTTGAGAGTTACACTTGTTGGATTTTTCATGGGAAAAGTTCATTTGCTTCGGCTTCTAGAGATAATGAATCAAGTGACTCTAGTTCGGGAGATGAAATTCAAGATATGTTGCATGATACATTTGGGATTCCCCCTCCAAGTCCATTTTGTGGAATGAGTTGTGACGAACCTGAAAGGGATAGTAGAGAAGGGCCAGATCAGGCAACAATTTTTTTTTTCAAATTGTTGAGTGAAGCTGAATGAAAGTTATATCTGGGATGTACCAAGTTTTCGACACTGTCATCTGTCGTTCAATTGATGTACATCAAGTGTCTTAATGGATGGAGAGACAAGTCATTCATAATGTTACTTCAAGTACTAAAGGATATGTTACCTGAGGGTAATACATTGCCCACTTCATTTTATGCAACTAGGCAGTTGATATAAGAGTTGATACCTGAGGACATGCATGTCCTAATGATTGCATGTTGTATTGGAAGGAGACAACTGCTAGGAATGACTGCCAGAGATGTCAAACATCTAGATAGAAACAAATTGATGATCAAGGAGATGAAACAAATATTGAAGGGCAAAAAATTCCGCAAAAAGTTGTAAGGTATTTCCCTTTAATACCGAGACTTCAGAGATTGTTTATGTCATAAAAAACAGCAGCATTGATGACATGACATGCAATAGACCGAACAAATGATGGGGTACCAAGACATCTAGTTGATTCTCTTACTTGGAAAACTCTGGACCAGTTGTATCCCCATTTTGCTAATAATGTACGTAATGTTAGACTTGGAATAACATCTAATGGGTTCAATCCATACAGGACAATGAGTATTTCTCATAGTACATGGCCTGTTATTTTAATGCCTTACAACTTGCCGCCATGGTTGTGCATGAAACAACCTTATATGATGTTAACACTGATTATCGATGGTCCTCGTGCTCCCGGGAACGACATTGATGTATAGTTACGCCTTGTAGTGGATGAATTGAGGGAGTTGTGGGAGGTTGGCGTTAATACGTTTGATGCATCCAGAAACCAAATGTTTCAAATACGGGCAATGCTATTATGGACAATCAATGATCTTCCGGCTTATGCAAATTTGTCGGGATGGAGCACAAAAGGTAATTTAGCTTGTCCTTGTTGTCATAAGCACACTGTTACCGTTGGCTGACAAATGGAAAAAAGCTTTGTTACATGGGGCATCGACGCTGGTTGGGTCAAGATCATGGATTTCGTAAAGATAAATTATCATTTGATGGCACTGTTGAAGTTGAAATGAATCTAGCTCAACTTTCGGGTACAGATGTTTCCTTCAGATTATCAAAACAACTTTGGGAAGGATGACGAGAGTAGCCATTCTAGAAAGCGAAAAAGGAGGTTAGATGGGATATATGAAGATTATGAGACTCATCTAAGCTACAATTGGAAGAAGAAAAGCATTTTCTTTGAGTTGGCTTATTGGGAGCACAATTCGATTTGACATAATCTTGATGTGATGCATATTGAGAAGAATGTTTGTGACAATTTATTATGGACTCTTTTAAATGTTGCTGGAAAAGAGAAAGAAAATCTGAATGCTTGATAGACTTGCAAGAAATGGGCATTCGAAAGGCCTCGCACCCATAACAAGCAGGTAACAAATTTTATTTGCCCCCTTCATGCTTCACTATGGACAATGGGGAGAAAGATGCATTTTGTACACTTCTAAAGAAACTCAGAGTTCCAGATGGCTATGCATCAAATATTTCTCGGTGTGTTAATGTTAAACAACGTCCTATATCTGGATTAAAAATCCATGATAGTCATATATTAATGCAACAACTTTTGCCAATTCCTGTGAGGATTTTGTTGCCTAAGAAAGTGGTTGGGCCATTGATTGAGCTATGTAATTTTTTTAGATAGTTATGTTCAAAGGTCCTGCAAGTAAATGACCTAGACTGCCTCCAGTCTCGGATTGTGCTTACACTTTGTCATCTCGAAAAAATATTTCCATCAAGCTTTTTCAATATCATGGAGCATTTGCCGATACATTTAGCTGAGGAGGCTAAGATTGCCGGCCCAGTGCAATATCGTAATGAAGGAATAAATAGTAATAATTATCACTAAACATGATATTGTAATCACTCAACAATTTTTTTTATGTGTAGGTTCCAATTCCTCGGATTCTATACGGAGACGAACTAGAGGTCCTACCTCGACGCATGGCAGCAGTGTGCTACACATTGAGGAAAATGAATTAAGGTAACCAATTGGTGAAAAAGCTTCTCCACTTCAATCTCGTTTAGGCATGCTAGCTCGAAATGGGACCATGACACCCTTAAATTGGCACGAGTGGCGTGTTATTCCCAAGGAGTATAAAGAAATAATATGGGATGAAATAAAAGTGGAAAGTTTTTGAATTTATTTTATAGTTATTAAGTGATTGTATATAGTTTTTGCATATTATTAGTGATTTTTGAATGGAATTGTAGGCAAACACTGATGCAAAATAGTGGATGAAAGGATATCTAATGAAATCTATAGGGAGGAAGTGGAAAGACTGGAAGTGTGAGATTAAAAAACAAGCTTATTATCCCTATAGAACTGATGTAGAAAGATTAGTTCACAAGCCTGACCGCGTGGAGGAATGACATTGGTAGGCTTTGGTCTATTATTGGAGCACTTCGAAGGCACAGGTACAAATATGCAAGTGTAAATTATGTCAATTTTAAAAGAAGTCATTTCTCTTTTTCTTCAAATTTTTTTGATAATTGCTTTTGGCATGTAATAGGAAAAAAGTGAGAGGAACAAACTCATTCGGAGCAAGAAAAAATTTCATCACACTACTGGCCGAACAAGCTTTGCATGTGTTATGAAAAGGGTTTGTTAGAAAACAAATGTGTTTTATAAAAGACTTTTATTCAAGTTTATTTATTGTGTCTATTTTAACTATAGGAAAAGAAAAAGAATAATGAGAAGAAAATGAGTCGTATTGAATTTTTTAAGGTCGCATATTCAAAAAAAGATGATCGACCAGTTAATGATGTTGTTGCACAAGTCTTGGTATGTAATATTGGCAAGAAAGATGTTCACTATTTATCCATTCTTATTTCGCCTATGTTTCATATTTATTTCAAATTATTTTTTGCTGCAGTCAGACGTGGATGAACTTGTGTCACAAATGCCAGAGTCTTCTATACAATCTTCATCTGCACTAGATGAAGTTTTCACTCAAGTCATGGGACCGGAGCGACCTGGACGTGTTAGAACATATGGTTTTGGACCATCTCTGAGAGATGTGTTTGGACATAAAAAATCAGAAGAAATGCAAGCAATGCAGTCCCAACTAGATGAGCAATTGAGTAGACATAAGGCAGAGATGGAGGCAAAGCAATTAGAGATGGAGGCTCAACAGGCACAAATGGAGAAGCAAATGAATCAGATGGAAGCTAAGTTTGAGGCTCAACAAAGACAGTTTGAGGTTTTTCTCGTTCAAATGCGTGCAATGGGTATGCCTATTCTCAAACTAGCTCGCAAAAACACAAATCCACTTCAGGTAGAAAAGGTAATAAAAACTTCAACGACTTATATTTTGAGTTATTGTATTATTGTATTATTTTTCTCCATGAATATTAAGTATTTGCAATCTTAAAAGGTACCTGATGCATCTAGTATTCATAATATAAACTCTTATTGATCATCGATGAGGAGTGAGTCAAGAAGTCCGGCAGTGCGAGACACACAGTTTCGAAGTCATTCTAGAGCATCTTCATTTGGTCAGGTGAGTCAATAAATGGAATAGTATTAATCTTGTTGCAATTACTTTGAAGTACCTTTGTAGAGGCAGCCATGGCTTAGTTACTTTAAAGTGTACCATTCTTTGTGCACTTTCTCTTTCCTCTCTACGTATCAACACTTATATGTTTTCTAGGCAAAATTTCTATTTCTTTGTTTTAGCACAATAGTGTTGCCAAATGTTGGCCTAAGAAGGAAGTATTGAGGTCAACTTCGTTAATTCATTCACACTTCCCCAATATAAAGCCATGTGCTCTGTCATATTTAAGGCTTAAATGTGAACCAGCCCTGCCTTGGTGCGTTTCATCTTTCCATTACTCATCCTTTTGGCACTTTGAAGCCAGGTCAAATTCTTTATCTGCATTATTTCATTTATGAATGGATATTAGTGGTGCTAGCCTACTGTAAAGGAATTTTGCTTTGTTGTTATTAGTTCTCTGGGATCATTGTACTTTTCTTTTTTGATGTTGTGATGGATCACCATAGAAATGGCTATAATTCTACCAAATTTTTTTTGTAATATTGCAATTTTCAGAACATGCTCTGTTTCATTTTTAAGCTTAGGGCCACTACACTTAACCTTAGATTCACGTGAGAAAATTTGGTACTAGTGCTTTTCATTTTTATTGTTTTATGTGAAATTCATGTGTTAATTTATATTAAATGTAGGTTCATCGACAAAGGAGAGCGAAATTCCCACCCAAGTGACTCTCCCTCTTAAGCCTAAGGTTCAGGATTATGCTGCTGGAAAAGAGGAGTGTTATTGTATTATCCAGTGGGGGAGGTTAAATGGAGAGATGTTTTTTTATGGATTGGAGGATGTAGTTGAAAAGCTTGTTTTTGGAGGATGTTCTTGAAGCTTATTTTGGTTTGGAATTTTTTTTATTTTGTTGTTTTCTTGTTTGAATTTTTTGAGCAGATTTTTTTGGAAATTTTGAGCAGACTGTTTATAGGGAAGCAAATTGTATGGCAGATTTTTTTTGGTTGATTGATTAAAAAAAAAAATTATCATTACGCTGGAAACTGAGTTCCATAAATAATAATTACTGGCGTTTAAATAAATCCCGTAAAATAGCTTTGGTCACCAAAATTTTAAAAGAAAGCCATCGGTTAAATAAGCATTGCTTCATTGTGTAGGAAACGTTACTTTAATTTTTTGTGACATTTAATTAAACGTCGATAAATGTCTTTTTTCTTGCAGTGTGTATCATCCTGTCAAGAGATTTTTTTCACTACTCATTTGACATTTTCTCTTTCGGCATATCAATAAAATTTTGTTTATTTACAAAAATAAAAATGACAAGTGCAATAATAGAAATTCTTATCGCTAGTACTCGTTCTTGTGATTTTTTTTTTTTTTGGGTAAGTAAACAGTATATTGATAAGAAATATACAATGAAGAAAAACTCTTGTATGCCAAAAACATGCAGACAAGAACCAAAAAACAAACAAAAGCAGGGAAAAATCTGAGGAGAATGCTGAAGATTTATAGAATTCTCCAAAGATTTAAACCAAAAAACATTCTATATAATTAGCATAGAGTCATCACCATAAACAAAAAGAGAATTGGGTAGCTGCCATGAGTGAGCAATTCTTCGATTCTCTATGTTTTTCTTAAACTTCAATGACATTAGTCTATTCCTGACAATGTTAATGATAAATCGCTGGACAGTCACAAGATCCTTCAGCTGGTTTCTGAATATCCTTCGATTTCTCTCATTCCATAACATATATACTGTAGCAGCAAGACATAGCTTCTTGATCACAGTGGCAAAGCTCTTCGCCTTCCAAATGTGTGCTGACTGGATAATAAAATCCTGCCAAGGTAATTGTTGCCAAGACTGGTGACATTTCTCTATAACATAATTCCAGATCCTTTCAGAGTAGGAGCAATCAAAGAATAAATGAGAGTGTGTTTCAGGAGCTATCCTACACAAGACACAACTTAAATCCACACTTTGCATATAGTTATGAATGCGATCCTTGGTTGAAAGTCTGCATCTAAAGGCAAGCCAAAGAATGAAGCTCATCTTTGGAATACATTGACTAAACCAAAGAAGCTTATGCCAAGGAACCAAAGGTTGTCTATACCTTAGTTCCTCCAAGGCAGAAGAAGAGAAGAAGGAGCCATTGGGGGTAAGCAACCATTTAACAATATCTTTCATATCAGGTCTAGGAGAGTAGGATGACATGGATACCTCAATTTGCAGCAAGTCACTGTTGTTTCTAGCATTAGCCCTGGGCCATCTCCATTGATTACCATGAATAATATGACAAAATTTAGCATTCATATTGAGGCCAGAATAATACATAATTCTGGGAGTCCATCTAAGCATTAGTGGACCAGCAGGATGCCAATTATCAAACCATAGTGATGTTTCTCTCCCATCGCCAATAATGTGGAGCAAGAAAGGTCTAGCAAAATCTCTTATCTTCAAAAGTTTCCTTCCAATTCCATAAACAAATGTGAGGAGGCTTGACAGTCCAGATGCTTCTTCCTTTCAGATAATAGTCTCTCACCCATTTAGACCAAATATTACTTTCATCAGAAATTAAATGCCAAAGGTGTTTGAGCATTAATGCCTTATTCCAAGCCTTAAGATCCTTAACACCCAGACCACCTTCTTATTTTGGAAGGTACACTTCCTTCCATGAAACTTTAGCTCCAACTGTCCTAAGCTCAGCTCCTGTCCAAAGAAAGGCCCTTAGTTTCTGCTCAACATTGTTAAGGACACTCTTGGGAAGAATCAAGTGACTAGACCAGAAGATATGAATATTGGATAGGATTGAGTGGATGAGCTGTAATCTTCCTGCAAAAGAAAGGAATCTAGAAGCCCATGGTCTAATTCTTGCCTCAACAGATTCCACCAAAGCAACACAATCATTGACCCTCAGCTTCGTAGTGATGATAGGGATACCCAGGTACCTAATAGGTAAGTTGCCCAAAGGAAAACGGAAACAATCCACAATTTGTAGTTGCTGAGCCTCAGAGACCCCAGAAAGAAAGATATTGCTCTTTAGTGGATTAGCTTTAAGGCCTAAAAGAACTTCGAAAGTCTCCAAAGAAGTCTTCAACACTCTAGCAGAATTAATATCACCATGACATAATAAGAAAAGGTCATCTGCAAAACTCAATTGAGCAATTCTTTGTTTGCTGCATCTCCAGTGGTATCTGAACTCTTGAGCTACATGAATATTTCTCATAATGATTTGTGTTAGAACTTCCATTCCAATAACAAAAAGATATGAGGACATAGGATCCCCCTGCCTAAGACCTCTTTGACTAGGAAAGTAGCCAGCCAATTCACCATTAACATAGACAGAAAACTTTGGTGATGTAATACATGCTTTAATCCAGTTGATCATCATCAGTGGAAAGTTGAGAGCAGCTAAAGTATCAATCAAGAAGCCCCATTCAAGCATATCATAAGCCTTCATAGGATCCACTTTTATTGCACACCTAGGAGGCCCATCATCCTTGTGTTAGTTCCTCATAAGCTCTTGGACTAAGAGGATATTATCCCCTATTCTTCTTCCAGCAATAAAACCAGATTGAAAAGGACTAATAAGCCCAGGTAGAAATGGCTTAATTCTATTGGCAATGATTTTTGAAATAATCTTATTGAGGGTGTTGCAACAAGAAATTGGCCTGTAGTCACTCATAGTAGTGGGATTGGGCACCTTTGGAATAAGTGATATGATTGTGGAGTTGATTTCCTTGAGCATTTGACAAGTGATAAAAAAATCCTGAACGACAGAAATAACCTCATCCCCAATAATAGGCCAAGCCTTCTGAAAGAAACATCCATTAAAACCAGGGGCTTTATTAGCATGGAGAGAAAAACATACCTCTTTGATTTCAGCACTTGTAACCTCCTTGCAAAGCATTCTAGCCTGATAATCAGAAATAGTGTGCTGGATAAGGTCCTTAATTGTAGCTTGTCTAGCAGTAGACTGATGACCGCTGCTTCTAAACAAATTCTGGAAATAATGGACTGCTTCATCTTTGATCTGTAAATCCCCCTCAGCCATCGTACCTTCCTGTCTTTTGATAGAAGTTATCCTAGATTTGTTTCTATTGCTTGTGACGACTTTAAAGAAAAAAGAAGTGTTTTGATCACCAGCTTTGAGCCATTGAATTCTGGATTTTTGTCTTAAGAACTCCTCTTCAATTCTTATTGCCTCAAAGAATTTCCTAAGCAACTCCTTCTCTTGAGTCCTAAGATCATGGTCCAAGGGCTTATCATCAAGTTTCCTTTGGCAGTTGGCTAGAACAATTCTTACTTCATTAGCTCTTGCAGTAACATCACCAACCTGAGCTCGGTTATAATTCTTGAAATCATACTTCAACAATTTAAGCTTTTGGCTTACTTGGAATTGCTTTGTTCCCCTCACATTAGTATGCCACACATTATTGACAATATCAAGAAAATCACTTCTATCAGCCAAAAAATTGAAGAACTTGAATGGACATTTCCTTGGTCTTGCTCTCTATCCTAACTTAACAATGGCAGGGCTGTGATCAGAGATACCAGAGGTAAGAAAATCAGCTGAAGATCTTGTGAATAGCAAATTCCACTCCTCATTAACCATGACTCTGTCAAGTTTTTTAACCGTGCAATCTTGAGGGTTTCTCCTGTTACACCAAGTGAAGAGAACACCTGAGAAGCAAAGGTCATCAATACCAGAATTTTGAATACATTCTTTAAATTCATCCATGGCTTTTGTTCTTCTATTGCTCCCCCCTTCAATTTTCTGCATATTTCTTACCACATTGAAGTCACCCAAAACCACCCATGGTCTAGAAATATTGCTCCTAGCATGAGACTCTAGATTACTCCAAAGTCTCCTCCTTTCTCTATCATCATTGGCCCCATAAATGAAGGAAACAAGGAACACAATCCTACTTTCAAGATGTTGAACCTCACAGTGAACAACCTGGTCCATTTTTTCAATTTTGAAAATCCTGAGAATATTTGAGTTCCAACCAACCCAGATTCTACCAAGAATATGACTGGAATAATTATCAAAGAAGTCCCAGCCTCTGAAGACAGTTCTCATAATGCTACCCTTATTAACAGCCCTGACTTTGGTTTCAATTATACCAACCAAATTCAGCTGCTATTCAAAAATAAGCTTTCGAACCTCCAATTGTTTAGGGGGAGAGTTCAATCCCCTAATATTCCAACGTGCAAAAATGATCATTTATGTCTTGGTGGATGGTGGCCTTGGGATGTAGAAATCCCCCTTTTACCTCTATTTGGTGACTTGTGCTTTTTCCTTAGTTGCCCAATTGGTATACCATCAATGTTCTTAATTTTTGTAGCTAGAACACTTGATTCAGGAGAAGCAGATTTTTCCAAATCTAATTGCACATGACCTTCCAGTTCAATAACAAGATTATCAAATTTGTTGCTAGTGGTGATGTTTGGAATTACCTGAGGAGCAGGGGTGGTGGTATGAAGCTCAGTGATAGTAGTCTCACAGACCATCATCTGGTTACTTGTGCTTCCATTATCCATATTTCTTTGATCAACTTTGTCACTCTCCTTTTCTTTGCCAACTTCAACAGTGGAGGCTATCTCTTTGCCTTTGTCAGCTTGTTTCTCTTTTCTTGTCCACACTTGTTTTCTTGCACAGTTCGTACTAGTATGGCCAAAAACATTACAATTAACACAAGTTTTCGGCTTCCATTGATATTGAACCATAATTTCCACAGTCTCCACAGCTTGGTCAGGTTGGGAACCTTGCATTTTCAATTCAAAGGAATCAATGGGAACTTGAGCAGCATCAATCTCAACATATACCCTAGCAAAGCTAATTCTTTGTTGTGTCTTGGTTAGCCCATCAGCATAAAGTGGTTTCCCAACTGCACTGGAAATATAGCTAAGACCTTATTCATTCCAATACTCAAGTGGAATATTATAAAGCTTCACCCAAACTGAAACTTTAGTGTGTGCTTCCTTCTTAAG